CCCCCCCGCCACAAGCTCTACAAGAAGACTTGGCTTCAAGGACATCCCTCTAGGACCCCGCCCCCCACCCCGGCCTTCCCGGGGCTCGCACATCCTCCTCTGTCTCCAGGATTCTGTGGCAGGAAATCTCGGTCGTCTCTCCTAAGGGGGGTTTTCCTTCTCTCCGAGTCCTTAGCACCTGGTACCAGGCTTTTGGCTCAGGTAAACCTTGAAAAAGCTTGTTTCATTGCATTTCTCCAAGGACTTGGACTTATCACAGTAAAAGTTGGGGCTAGATATGATATGAGTCAAGGACAAGGGGAGAGCTCAAGCATGGGCCCTGGGCTGGCTTTTCTGCGTCTGTTTCCGCCTCTGTATAAAGGGGAGCTTTAGGGTTACGAGGACCAAATGAGTTAATATGTGTAAAGTACTTAGAACAAGGTCTACTGTATAGGTTCTTCAGAAGCATTAACTATAAAGAACAATATATATATACTCTTTATAGAATAATATATATTAGGTTTTTGCCATAGGGCATATGCACTTGCTGGAGAAAAACAGAGACAATGACAGGGAAAATGAGAAATCACTTCCCAGGGCGGATGGCCACACCACGATCCCTTCTTTTCCATTCTCTTCCTGGGATATTTTTTTTAATTAGTTTATTTAGCTTTCTTTCTTTCTTTCTTTCTTTCTTTCTTTCTTTCTTTCTTTCTTTCATTTGACCCAAGAGGGACAAAGCTCGAGAGAAGAAAGTGAGAAAGAGCCACAAGGTCTGGGACTTGAACCGTGGTTGACCATGTGGGAGTCCAGTGCCCCCAGTCACCATACCACCCGTTGGCCCCTTCTCCTGGGATTTTTGAACACGCATGCCCAGAGTGATTTTCAAACTGCCTGGCCCGGTATTTGAACCACAGTCTGCTATATGGGAATCCAGTGCCTTATACAACCATGCCATCTGCTGGTCCCACTATTACTTTTTTTTTCTTAAGTGGAGAATCATTGGAAATCTTTCCGTAAAGGAGTCAGATGAGAAAGCAGCATTTAATAAGTGTGGCTCCTGCTGCCGGGAGGAGCATGGACTGACACAGCAAAGTGCAGATTCAAGAGCTGCAAGGAGGGGTCTTCTGCAGGGGTCCATTGAGAGCTGTGGGCACTGGGATTAGGGAGGCAGAGAGATGGGAGAGAGTTGTGGTTGGATGAGGATAGGGTATGAAGTCTTGATAGTAGAGAGGATACGTGTAGATTCCAGAGACTGTGTGGGAGGGGGTGGGTAGTAGAGGGTGTGTGTAAAGGACAAAGGGAAGAAACATTTAACAAACAGAAGAATGGAAAGTTCTGTTGAAAAGGAAAGTTCTGTAATTTTTGCTTTTACAAAAATAAACATCTTTTAAAAGTTTGTAGAAAATGGAAAAAAAAAAAAAAGAGTGAGAGTGAGAGAGAGAGAGAGAGAATTGAGGCCAGAAATGGGAGTTAAACCCTGGTATCACCACTTGAGACTGTACAAGTCAGTTCTCTCCAGCCTCGCCTTCTCTGTGTGTCAAATGGAAATAATAACACAGTAGACTTACTTTGAAAAATTGTTTTAAAGGTCAAGTGAAACACTATATGTCAAGTGTTTAGCATAATCCCTGTAACATATTATAGTTAGCTCTCTCCAAAAAATTCCCTGTTATTTTGAGAAAAAATGTTTTTCACCTTAAGGGGAATCAGTAGGGAGGCTGGCAGGTAGCATGGTGGCTAAGGTGTTGTACTCCCACATGGCAAACTGCAATTCGAGTCCTAGACCTGGTGGCTTGCTTTCTCACCCTCTCTCTAGTCATACTGAATAATTATTAATAATAATAACAATTTTAAAAATAATTCTTTTTAAAAGGGAATCTTTAAAAGGGGGAGATGAGTTGGTGCCAAGGGTTGCAGTTCCCAGCATGGCCACGCGAGAGAAGTAGTGAGCAGTCTCCGGGCGGACTCGGGCTCAACTGTGCTAAGGCACCTGCTGAGCTCCCAGATGGCCTGACTGGGGTTTCCGGGGCTTTCCGGCTCCTGAACAGGTGGGCGCTGGCCAGGGCGTCGTGGGAAGAGTCCTCGCGATGAGGTCGGTCTCGGCCTGACCGTCCTGCCTGCTCGTCCCCTTTGCAGCTTGTAGGAGAGGTTGGCGGCTGGGAGGGAGAGAATCGAGAGCAACTGGCATTTATCCTCGCTGGTTCGTCATGTCTTTCACATTTCATTATGATTGTTTCTTCTATATATAAGTTTTTATAGTCAAATATACTGGCGTTTTTCCTTATGGCTTCTAGGTTTCGCCCTGCTTATCAAGCCTTTTCCACCTCCATTAGAACATTTACTCATGTTTTCTGCTGGTACCTGTAGTATTACTATGTAAATATGTGCTCACCTGGAGTTATTCTGGTGCAGGTTAAGGACATAGCTTTGTTCCATTTCCCATTGACTTCCAGCTATCTCACTTATTTGTTGAAAGCCCGATCAACACCCCTCCCCCCCTTATCTAAAGTGTTATCTTTGTCACACATCGAATTCTCTTGTGGAGCTGAATCTATTTCTATACTCGGTTTTGTCCCAGGGATTTGTCTAGTCCTTTGATACCACACTTTTTAAAATATAGTGACTTTATAATATGTTTAATATCAATAAGGTGGATTCCTTTTCATTAATTTTCTTCTAGAATTTTTATTTCTGTATGTTTATTCTTTTACATGCACTTAAGGATCCAGCCCTTTTTACTGAGGGAACATTGAAGCCCAAGAATGGAATTGACCATATGGAACCTTGGAGTCCTTGAAATTATATGCAAAAATCTATATTTGCACATTCCTCTGGAGAGAAAGTCCAAAGTTTTCATCAGATGTGCAAAGGAACCAAAATTCCAAAGGGAGCTCCTGGTTTACATGTCTCTGGGACATGAATAAGGGAGGCACACAGAGGAAGTCTGAGTCCTCTCTTCTCTCCCACTGCCTTATGGGACCTGCTCCACCATCTCCCCATCCTTCACCTCCACCATTGTTCCAGATACTTTCTAGTTACAGGATGAGGCCTTAAATAGATTAGATGATTTTCTAAATGTTAATTAATAAGTAATAAAATGATGAGTTTACTTTCCACCTCTGACCAACTATGGCAGGGGTCTCCAAGCCCTGGGCCAGTTCATAGCTGGTTAGGAACTGGGCTGCACAGCAGGAGGTGAGTGGAGGACCAGCGAGTGATGGAAGCTTCATCTGTATTTACAGTCTCTCCCCCATCACTCCCATTAATGCCTGAGCTCCGCCTCCTGTCAGATCAGCATTGGCATTAGATTCTCACAGGAGCGCATACCCTATTGTGAACTGCACACGCGAGGGATCGAGGGGGCACGCTCCTTCCGAGAATCTAGCGCCTGATGATGTGAGGTGGAGCTGAGGCAGTGATGCTAACACTGGGGAGCAGTGCAAATACTGCATTAGGGTGAGTTGTACAATTATTTAATTACATATTACGATGTAATAATGATAGAAATCAATTACACAATGAATGTAATGCTCTTGAGTCATCCGGAAACCATTCCTCTGGCTGCCATGGATGGAAAAATTGTCTTCCAGGGACGAAACCAGTGCCAAAAAGGTTGGGGACTGCTGAGCTAAGGGGCTGAGCCTTAGGCTCTCCACATTGTTGGGCTTCACTTTACCCTTGTCACAGACCAGGTGATGAGGGATGGGACAGAATGAGGAGGATGTGGGAAAAGCAGCTAGCTGTTCCCAGTGGTGTCCTTTAATCCCAATATTAATCCTTTTTTTCTTCCCGCGTTTTCACCCTCAAATTCACATTTTACTTTACACCATCAACAGAGAGACTATTTGTCTTACCTGTCACCAACAAAGCTAATAATAATGTCCTCTCTCTAAATGAGTGGAGAGAGAACACCAGCGCCCAAGAATGGAACTGACAAGTCCTAGGCAAGGCTAAACAGGGAGCTGGGGTCAGGCATGACCCGGGACAGACTTATAGGCTCCCGGAGTCCCAAGCTGCCGAGGAAACCGTGACTTGGGGAGCCCAGTTGGAAGTCAGTTAGGCAGATGCCAGGCCCCAGGACAGGGTTTCTCAACCTTGGATCTGCTGGCATTTCGGGCCTGATAACTACGTGCCGTAGGACGTCCTGTGCATTCTAGGGTACTTCGCAACGTCTCTGCTTTCTTCTTTTTAAAATAAATGCCCAAAAATAACCCCCCATTTCACATTTTTTGTGAAAACTGAAAATGCCTCCAGGCATTGCCAAATGTTCCTTGGGGTCGTGGCGGGGGAAAATCTCCCCACTTTGAAAGCCACTGCCCTGGGAGAAGCAAGGAAGGTAGGGAAGGAAGTGAACTCGGGGCTCAGGGCGGGCCTCTCTCTCCTCCCTTACCTTCTATCTGGAGGGACATTATAAAGTCCTTTCTCCTGTCTGAGCTTAGTTTTTGCGTCTATAAAGTGGACTTTATGTTTGCAAGTCACTTCTCGTCTTTCACCATCGGATGTTCCTGGATCTGGTCCAGAGGAGGGCTGGGAGAACCACAGTGCCAGGGAGTTCCTGGGAGTTACACCCAAAAGAAAGAAGGATTAGAAAGAACAGATAGAGGTGGTGGCAGTGGAGAGGGGTGGCCCAGCAAGGCGCAGGACATTCCTTGGGACTTAAGAAGCTTGAGGCATCCCCAGACCCCGCTCCTTTGAGGCCCACCCTTTGGAGGCCTCATTATGGTAGTCACCCCAACATGGCAAACCTTGGCTCTCTGGATTTCCTAGGCCCCACCCATCAGCGAGGCCCGCCCCGCTAGCCCCGCCCCATTAGCCCC